TAAAAACGGTAGGTAATAGGTAAGTTCGCCAGTCGATAAAAAAAGCCTCAAATTTGGAATATTCTTCACGATTTTCTTATTGCAACCTCTAAATCCGTAAACAACAACAATCAACAGCTTAAGGTCCTACAATGGGATTGCTTGCAAAGAATCTGAAAGATTTCTATCGAAGAGGATGCTTCTTATGAAGTATGGCCTGCTGAGAAGATGGTTGCTAAGGGACTCCGATGGTCCCACTGACTATCTAGGAGGAACTAAATGCGAAACGGCCTTTTGGGATAAACCCTCAGCGCTGATAATCGTTTAACTTCATCCAAATATTTTTGTAATCGATCGATCGTTGGTGAAATCGTTAGGTAGATGAACTCGTCCACGGTATTGTCAAAGAACAGCTTCGACAATTCCCTTCTGAATAAAATGGAATTACGCACGGAAAAAAATGCATAGATAACAAGTCTAAAATTATACAGTAAAATTAACAATGAAGAATGAAGGATAAAATTTTTGGCGTTTATCAGTCCCATCTGTGGGATGCGCCCCGCATTCGACTTCCATTCAGAATCCCAGTAGCAGTTAGACTGCGTACGTTGCTTATACAATTACTTGCAGTGGGTGATCAAGTCAGTGCCCCTACATCTTCCCGACATCCATCGACCGATTATAATCGGGAGAATGTAGGGGCACTGTTGTAGGGGTACCGACAAGCCGGTACCAATTAACCGACCCCGAATTAATGGACGACTTAGTAGGCTTAGGCAGGATTCGAACCCGTTCCATGTGTGCGTGACAGGGCAGCTTTTGCCACTATACCATCTCCGTCAAAAGCAAAACAGTAATCATAATAATACTAATAAATAGTGATGTTCCTAATAAAGCTACATAATGACGAGTATGGTATAAATAGAACTGAAAAAATAAAACTGGTGTATTTACAATCACAGAATCGAATCCTGATCGAGCTAAAAAAGTTCTAAAGAACAAAACGCAGTGTGGTTTGAAAAGACTCCCCATGATCCATCCACTTCTTTTTTGCTAGTATTTTTTGTAGTTATTTATTTTTTTATTTGTTCACTTGTTTACTTATGATGTGATGCCAAGTACTGCTCCATTGCTTACCTGAGACTAATTTCAATGGATTTGATCTGTGAATGGAGACTACTTACGAAGAACTGCACTTGACCAAGGTACCTGAAACGAGGAAATCCATGGAAATGCTGATACAACTCTGTCAAAATATACAGACTTTTGTTTGTTATTGTTTGTTTACTGGAACCCGCCATGCTGACTTGAACTCCGTCCAGAAGTATCGCAACTTTCGAATGGGTATTCTACATATACAATGGAATGCCGTGGGAGCAGCCTCATGCCCTCTCTAGCCAACATTATCAGCAGCTCGAAAAAAAGGTACCATCTGCAGAAAATCCGCCTAGGAAACAGGACAACTTGAATTGCTTCATTCGGGAGAGCAGCCACCTAGCGAAGCGAGCTACCGTCGTCCCACCTTCACCTTGGGTCAGTGTTCTATCTCCCACAGGAACAACGCAAACTCCATTATTCGAGAAACCTAAAAAGCTGATGGTTCATTACGAGAAATGAGGACGTCGCAGATTCCGCAAAGACGTGAAGGTCCTCTTTGACATACGCAATCAACTGGTCGAGCTCCACCCAGGCCAGCCATGGCTTCTACCTCCTAGAGGTCGACTACACCATATCAGACACTGGCGGTGAGATCGGGATACGGACATATGGGTCATCATCACCCATGAGTCACTGTAAATGTCGTAACTGTTTCTAACACGGAGTGAGTTCTCGAGGGCATCGAATGCCTCAACAGTACGGGAAACAATCTAAGTACATTAGTCACTCAAGCTATTTTCCTACCTTGCCCATGAAACAACTGTTGTGGCTGATGCCTACATCTTAAAAAGAGAAATATATAAATGATCCTCATACTCCTGGACCTAAGGTGACTACCAGTACTGCAGCGTTGATTAGGTTAGCTCGGGAGGAATCACAAATGCGAGATATGTACAGTAGCACTCAAAAGTCTTCAGCCGTATGCTTCTTCAATCGTACATTTCAGTCATAACTCTTTTCCTACTTGAATTGATCATGCGAAATTTCAATATGTGTAGCATGGGCGTATTGTGAGTATTTGCCACTATCAACCTGCAATCTAATCATGTTCCAGATATCCCGAAGAGCTTGATCCAAAATAGACTGGAAATATGGAAATTGGTGCACCTCGGATTTCTTTCCTTTTTGCTATGTCTAAAGTGTTTGAGCGCTAATGCCGAACCCAGTTGAGGAAAAAACG